ATATGTTTGCACATTGCTGAGAGCAAAGTGCGTTGGAGAAATCGAATGATTATAGTCATAGGATACCTAAATTTTAATGAAGTCTACTAAAATCTAAGTTAAGGATACCTAAATTTTAATTATTAAAATATAAGTTCAGGATACCTAGATTTTAATGGACTTTCAAAATTCATCAACGCAATTATAATTTACCCATATAATAACATGGATAATGCTATGTGTACACCTTGTGGTGTACACAATCTTTTACACCTATGTGGGTCTCCCTCCATGTGAGGGGGGTGTAAAAGATTGTGTACACATAGCACGAGCTTGTTTGGGAGAGATTTTTTGGGGAAGAATTGATTTTGAATTGTGATATGATGGGAAATGTGTGGTTGAAAAAGAAGAAAAAATTATTGATGTGATGGAAAATATTATTTTATTGAAGAATGTGTCATGTGTGGTTGAAAATGAGAATTGATTTACTGTAGAAAAATTTAATTCCTCCCAAATAGGGCCCTAATAACATTGCATGTATTTCAGTCTTGTACAAAGTTGTGCCCATATTTGTGGGTTCTACGTAATATGTTGGTAATAAGCGAATATTAGTTATGGATTCTACAAAATATATAAATAAAAAGTATTTTTGATCAACTTCAGTCGTAATGTAAATTTTACCAGACGTGGTCCATTTTTATATAGGAATTATTTCCCATTTGTAATGTGCTGTACTAATTCATTTTATAGCAATCACAAAACACACAGAAGACTTTATGATGATTAAACTTTTTAAGAATCATATCTTTCTCTCACCAAAACAAACCGTTCTCTCTCATTTAACATAAAAGAGAACAATGAGTTGAGAAATATTTCTTAAGATTCTATATTTCTATGTGATACATATTTGTGAATAAACAACTATTTGATGCTCTGATACCAACTTCGAAATGAACCCAACATGAACTGAAAAGAAAATATAGGCCACCCTGAATCTTATCCATACAAAACCAAAATATTAAATACTTTTAGTCTACGTGTTGCACCAAGAATACTCCTCTTCCCATATAATATAGGAAGGTCACCAACAGCTAAGCGAATGACTTATAAAACCGAAAAGTGCACTAATAGTACCATCATGCACGAATCAGATTTATTTCAGTATCATTTTTGAATAATGCTTAATTCCTCCCAAATAGGGCCTTAATAACATTGCATGTATTTTAGTCTTATACAAAGTTGTGCCCATATTTGTGGGTTCTACGAAATATGTTGGTAATATGCGAATATTAGTTATGGATTCTACAAAATATATAAATAAAAAGTATTTTTGATCAACTGCAGTCGTAATGTAAATTTTACCAGATGTGGTCCATTTTTATATAGGAATTATTTCCCATTTGTAATGTGCTGTACTAATTCATTTTATAGCAATCACAAAACACATAGAAGACTTTATGATGATTAAACATTTTAAGAATCATATCTTTCTCTCACCAAAACAAACCGTTCTCTCTCATTTAACATAAAAGAGAACAATGAGTTGAGAAACATTTCTTAAGATTCTATATTTCTATGTGATACATATTTGTGAATAAACAACTATTTGATGCTCTGATACCAACTTCGAAATGAACCCAACATGAACTGAAAAGAAAATATAAGCCACCCTGAATCTTATCCATACAAAACCAAAATATTGAATACTTTTAGTCTACGTGTCGCACCAAGAATACTCCTCTTCCCATATAATATAGGAAGGTCGCCAACAGCAAAGCGTATGACTTATAAAACTGAAAAGTGCACTAATAGTACCATCATGCATGAATCAGATTTACAAGTCATAGTAAAAACTTATTACGACTTAAAATCGAAAAGTGCACTAATAGTACCATCGTGCACGAATCAGATTTACTTCGGGCATTTTTGAATAATGCTCTTTGGACAGACTCAAGGATAGGGATGGAGGGACATAGTGATATGACAGATAATAATTGAATATTGTGTTTTTATTTTTTTTCAAACTGTCCAAACATGTGACGACATGTGTCCCCCTTATTTTTAAACTGTCTTTGAGCCTGTTTGTGTAGCACAATTGATCATTTTTCTTTTCATCTGAGCTTTTGAATGGGTTGGCTTACAGGTTGCCGATTTGTTCATCATGACCTTTTCAAGTTGGAAAAGTCACCATCCCTTGTTCTTTTGAGTCAATATGGTGAATGATTTCATTAATATTTGAGCATTAACCTTAAAAATTGGTGTTACAAAATACTTAGTTTGCTCATAAACCATCTAGGTAAAAGTTTGTTATTCACATTTTGGACTAAGAAATAAAAATAAGGAGTCTTCCCTGTCATCCAATAGATCTCAGTCTCACGACAAACTCAGTAACAACCACCGGCAAAAAAAAAAAAAAGTTACTACTCTATTTGATCTTATTCTTCACTGATTTCAAAATTGTTCACAGCAGCGACAAAGATATTTGCTAAGAGAGAACTTACAATTTCTGAATACTAGAACTAATTTTACAATGAAAAACCACACAAGCGTGGCAATGTTTAATGAAGTCTACCTGATGCCAATGACTAAGGTAAACAACCCTGAACAGTACAAGTTCTATCTTCCCTTGCTTGGAAATAGAAGTGAATCAAAAGACATTTCAGAAAATGACACTTGACGACTTGGAAGATGATGTATCTCATATCTGGGATACACGACAACATATGATCTAATGAGCTCGACTCATTTTCATTTTGGGCATGGTCTTCTTCACTTGGCGGGCACGCTCTTTAGCTTCTTTCTTGCGAAGAGCTTCAGCGCTTAGCTTTGCCTCTGCCTCTTCCAACTTCTTTCTCTGCTCACCCTTCTTTTTCTGCAAGGCTTCGTGCCTGGCGTTCTGAAGTTCCTTTTGAATCTCTTGAGCAACCTTTATTCTGGCTGTTTCAGTTTTAGATCGAGCCTGGGGTGCACGAGTCAAATTTTAGAAAATCGTGAATGATATAAAAATACTGAAATGGTCGTCACTCACATGTGAGCTGAGCTTGTAACGGCCAATTAGGTCAATGTAATAGGGGACAAGAGCAACCAATCGAGTCATGTCAGCCATGTGATTAGCATCGGGGAGAGCAAACTTGAACACCAGCATCTTCTTGTTTAAGCCCATGTGTTTATCGGAAAAATGCATAGAGATGAAACCCTTTCCAAATTTCTCAAATGCCTTGTCGCTAAAGACCTGCATGGATTTCAAAGTAAAAATTATATTGCATGATAGACGGGCAACAAGAACAAACAGTACCATACCATTGATTCCTTTATATCAGAAGGCAAGAGGAAATTAAATCAAACTCAGAGGAAGGTAGTGAAAATGATGGCACACATCTGAAGTGGTTGATTGCGAAATAGGAGAACACAATTATGCAATTAGGTGATGCATTTGTTAAAAAATGGCAACCATTTCCACATGCACATTGAGTAAAACAGCCATTTCCTGATTCAGTCAAGATTACAACTCTATCGGCAAACTATCTTTCACATCAGCTGAATACTGGAAAAGTGGCAAGGTATGGCTGCCTGAACACGTACAGTTTGATCAGATTCCCATAGGTAGGTCCATAGGTGCAATTGTTTCTGTGTCACAGGTGAAGCTACGGGTTAATTCTATTTACTTCATTTTGCATCCTTCTAGACAGAGATGTTATAGTCACTTCTCTGATAGGCCCCAAGGAGGTTACTTAACCATCTATTAGTAGTTAAAGGGGGAGAGTAGCATGGGTATTTCCGAAAACTTTCATTTCATTCATGGGAAAATGGGGAAAAAGTAGGGAGAGGGATAGGCCTCTCGAATGCCTATAAATATTGTAATTCCATTTCATTCCATTCATTTCTTTGTACAATCAGAAAATACCACAATATACATACTGCTCTTATTCTCAATTTACTGTTCTTAGAGAGTTCGTTGCTGGTTCTGCAATTTGCTCCCTAGAACATCATCAAAATTAGAAATTTCATCATTCTCTCAATTTCTTTAAGATGCATCCGAATATTACTAAACAAAGCCTTGTACCACACATACGTGATCCATATATGGATCCCAGTTTGGATCCATGTAATTTTAAGTCAATTACCTCAATATTGAGATGCAAAAATCAATGTAAAGCCAATGTACACAAATCAATACAATTTTAGGACAATCTTCTTTTCGAACGCAGTTTTATAGGCCTTGCTCGAAAAGGATTGCCTTAATAATTTGAGCTACATTCTTCCAAGTCCATGTCACCCATAACCAATGTAGAAGCCATATCTTTACTGATAATTGGTGCCTATAATCTTGATTCTCTGAATTGTAAGGACAACGTAATATCTTTAATAATCCCAAAATTCTATGATAGAGACGTGAATGCAATGCCAAAAGGAAAAAAGAGAAGAAAGAATTAAGAAATTTAGAATATTAAAGTTGAGACCTCCCGGTGACTTAAGTTTCTTTTCCAAAAACAGATCGTTTTCAAGCCTTCAACTTCCCTTACTCTAATAGTATACATGTACTTTCTACAAACACCATTAACCCCAAAGCGATATAGATCCCTCTGCTTAAATGCAACATCAAAGCACTATACACAATTCTTAAGGACCTTAAGTCTATTGGTGTGTATGCAACTCTTACTTAGACTTAACATAGCATCATTAAATAAACAACTCAAAAATATAAAATACACACGTGTACACACCCTGCCAAACGTCTTGTAGTGTTCTCCTTTATTAGTTAATTGTTCATTATTCCAAAATCCCACTGCTCTAATGTACTGTAGTTTCATATCCATCTAGTTTCATATACAGCTAGTTTAAAGGCACATCAACACATATAACAAGGAAAATACCTAAAACAAGCAATCAAAATCAACATTCAAGCATTCAAAAGCACAAAGGATATAAATACACACATTGTAGTTATCAAAACCGGATCAATGCATACCTGATCAAGCACAGCGTCAGTGATCAAATCCCCGGAAACCTCCTTAGATTCTGAGACCACCTGCAACTCCTCGGCCACCCACTTCCTCCCACTCGGAGGTGCCACTAGAGCTGCAAATCGCTGCAAGTCACCAGCCTCCTTCTGCATTATTTTCGCCAATTTTTTCCTAGCTAATGCGAAAACCACCTGATCCATAGCACCATCGTTCATGTACACCTCAAATGTAATCTCATCCTTACACGGCACCACCATGTTGTACAACCTCGAAATCAAATCATGTCTGCTCTTCAACTCCATACTTCCAAGCACTCCCGAGCAAAACCTCCTCCCGCTTGCATAAAACTTAAAAACGTTCTGCCCCTCCTTCAACAACAGCGGAGAGTCCTCAGTCTCACCCACGCCTAACAAGCTAAAGTTCTTATCAAAAATAGAATCCTTGGTAGCAAATTTGCTCGCCCACGCCAACGCCAAATTCTCATTCTCTTTCTTCCCTGTAAAGTAATTGATTGTAAACATAATCAAGAACGAAACACATACAATCTCCACGGAATACGAAGTCAGCTTCCTTGGAACCACAACTTCCGGTTCTTCCGATTTCGGCAAACTCCGATCAGATTCCGATGCAGTGGCAGATTCCGTAATTACGGGAGTTTCATGGGTTAAATGTCGAGGAACACCCTCGAATTCATCTTCATCCCAGTAATCAAAAGACGTAGAAGCAGACTTCGTATTCGGGTTCGGATCCGATGACGGGGAATTAATTATGAAATCCGAATCGGAATCAGGAGGACCGTGGTGTGATTCGGAGGTGGGTTGAGAAAGAGAAATGGGGGGTGGTGGGGTTGAGCGAAGAGGGGGATCAACGGCGTCGTCGGATTCATCGAGGACGAAATCTTCATCTTCATCAGCATCGAAGCCTTCAAAGTGGGATTGGGCGGTTGTGGGGGAGGCGGAGAGGCGGTGAACAAGTAGGGAGAAGAGGGAGAGAAGGGCAATTAGGTATAGAAGAGTGTCGCCCCTTGGAAGGAAGAGAGAGAGTGGAGAGATGAGGAGAGATGATGATGAAGAAGAAGATCGTTTCGCCATTGTTGAATTCTTGATTGATTGATTAGTTTGAGTGCGCGCGCGCGACGACTCCAAAGTGAAGAAAAGGGGAACTTTTCCTAAAGGTCACCCAACTTTCTATTGCCTTCAATTTGACCACATGACCTATATTTTTGTTTCAATATGATCGCCCTATTTATTATTCTCTTTCAATATAATCATAGTTACCCTATTTATTACACAAACCTCGCTTGTCTCAGTTAAAATTCGAGTCGTCACGAACCCTAAAAATCAATTATACTGGTGTTGGAACCGATTCCTTCATCAAGAAATGAAAGTTATTCATCAGAGGATGCAAAGGCTATTGCACTATGTAGATGTCTTTTATTTGCTTAAGAACTCAAGTTAATATGATAGAATTTATAAGTGTAGCTCTTGTTATTTCATGCCTAGAAATAATAAATAATGTAGCCCCGTGCATAACTATTGTTTGTTGCCTGTCGATTTGTACTTGGTCTACTGTATTCTCGTTGAAAATAAAGCTATTGTTTGATTTGATTAAAAATCGAATTTTTATTAGATTTTGATTAAAAAAAAAAAAAAATTGATGAATGTAGGATTGAAAAATTGATAAAAAGTCGTGAATCTCATAAACTCATATTTGTGGCCCCAATTTTTTAAAATTCATTTTTTCTTAAATTTATTTTCATTCACACATTTCATAAGATTAACAACTTTTATCAATTTTTCAATCACATATTTCATTAACATTTATTAAAATCTTTCGAAAGTCGGGCCCTTTTGATTCTCATTATTGTAGAATAAGAATGAAAAATATAGTCGTTATTGGGCCTCACACAAGAAATAAAAATTCAAAATTGATGGCTTGATGTGATGGATAACGGTCATATTTTTCATTTTTATGGATAAAAAATGAGAAACGAACAGGGGCTCATCAAACCAACAAGAATGGAAATGTGTAATACAAAATGAATTAAAAATGAGTTTTAAAAATTGGGAGGAAGACTTCAATTGTGCTGTATAAATAAAAGAAAATAGGAAATAAAATAAAATTGAATGGGACCCAGGTACTATAGCTGTGACTGTGAATGCATTGGGGGCCCAGCTGCAAATTTCTCCAAGAAAAAGCAA